TGTCATATGCTGGAGCAAGCTTCCCCGCTAGGGTGACAGCATGCTCGAGTACAAGATCGCGTGCCTCTTCGCTCAGTACGTCTTCCGGAATGAGCCCGGTGTCATACATGTCCACAATAGACAGAAGCCCGCCCAAGTATCGTATGGTGGTCTCGAATGGGTCGACGAGGTCCTTCGCTTCGTTGAAGTCGATAGCGAGTATGTGCTCGAGAGAATGCGCCAGCTCGTCCCATAGCCCCATGAGTGCCAATGTGCTCGCTGAGTCCACGATGAAAGCTCCCCACCCATTCCTAGATGACGAGTTGCCTCCCGAAACAGGCAGGATGTCATCGCAGCCCCAGGCGTTCTCCCTGTACTTCCAAAAGGTATATTTCATGGCATCTCGCACGCTCTTCGCTCGTGCCTCATCCGCCTTGCCAGTCCCATTCCAATCCGCATGTTGTATCTGTGCGCCGAACTTCGGTATGTCCCTCTCTCGAACAGTCGGGTTCTGGAACTCCTTGATGAGGAGGTACAGGGTGATGACGATGATGGCCGCGAGGAGCTTGAACGACGACTCGGGATTCCGCTCGAATTTGGACTTGCCCCAGCGGCGGAAGCCGGGCATAGTTAAAGAGTGGTAGAGGCCTTATGGTGCTGGCGGAGGCGCTCAAGAGGCGGGTGGTAATAGCGCGCACATCTGCCCAGGTGGTCTCAGGGTGCGGAGCGGGTGCGGAGGTGCGGCGATCGATGTTCAAGATTCCAAGCTATGAGACCATGCTTGGCTCGAACGGGACGACTATTGTGTGGTGAATGAAAGAACGGTATCCAATGCGAATGAATGAATGTACGAGACGAGTTTACACATGTGAGCGCTGACGTCGTGTCGCGCTCGAGTCTGAGAGTTGCTCCAGGCTTGGCGCTGAGCCCTCAGCGTCGTCATCGCGAACTTTGCGACACCAACGCGTGTGCACCTTCTCAATCTCGACATGGCTGTCTGGCAGTACGTGCGCACCCTGACTATCTACGTTCCTACCACTAACATTGAGATAGGTGGTTCAAAAACATACCGCCCAAGACGCGCATGATCATTGGCGTGGGCGTCATGGCGTACGCGGGCGCTGGCCTCTACATATCCGACAAGGCTGAGGAGAAATTTGGCCTTACCCCAACCGAGAAAGATCGAGAGCAACTTCAAGACGTGATACCCAAAATTTCGACTGTCGAGAAGCGAACTTCATGAGGCACGACATCCTGTCCTCCATAATCTACATTACCTCATAAGTGACACCACAGACACAGTACGGATAACCGACCTATTGCATTTTTATGACAGCGAGACAAATTCTGACGATTTTCAGGCGCATACACAGCCTCGTTTCCACTGTACCACTTTGGGAGACCTATCCGGGTGGTGAGGCAGAGAAGCATCCTAATACAACTAAAAATGACACAACAGCTATGGTCATCTCTCGAGATACTGAATCACGATGGCGTTGTCTCGCGATGTGATGCTCAGGACAGAATGACGTCTGCCTACCCGAAATTCCTTCAGCCGTCATTAATTCAAATAATAGAGATTGACCGCTAGGTTGTATCACTAAAGATTTTCACGTCAAAGATGGAGCCTTGCAAGCGGCGAGTTCCAACATTTCAACCCGGCGTAGAGTTGAGCGAAATGACCGCTATACCGAACCTGCGTGCATGCGTCACGAGATGATCTTGGCGCTTACTTAAACTGCCCTGTCAACTCGAAACTGCAGCCTGATTGTGTTCATTGCCTGTACTTGAGTATCGCTTTCGATAGACGTGGATATACCACGCTGACTATGCCTGAACCAATGGGTCCTTCACCGTCGTTTGCGCATGAGACGAGGGGACGAAAACGCCACCGGGCAGATTCGACATGCAATCACTGTCGACCAACATCGGCGCGATGCTCCCCAACCCCCAATGATTCTGAAGGCCGATGTACCAACTGCATCGAACTGGAGGGGGAGTGCGACCGAGGAGAGGCTCGGAAAAGGGCGACTAAGGCAAGACGACAAACTTCAGACACTTGTGAACGATGCCTCGAGGAAGTCAGGGCAGGCCTTGCCCCGAACATTACAACGCCCTGTATCGATTGCAATGCGGCATTGCGGAAAGATGATATTCATGACGGCTTCACCACTGTTACCAACTCTGCCGCTGTAGGATACACCAACACAAGACAACCTCAAATCAGCACCGAAGTAGCGCATCTCTCAATGAAGGAAGCGCTCATGGATCAAATGGACGAATCTCCTGAGACACCCGGTCACTATTCAGACAACGAGAGAACACGGTCACAGTCGCCAGCTCACAGTTTCTATCATGGTGACTCGCCAATTCCAACGCCGGTCCTGGGGGTTTCAGATTATCTGCCTCGTGCTCTGGAATTCACACCGCCGTTGCCCGTCGTTGACGCAAACACTGTCCTTTATGGGAAAACCTTTCCAGATCCTAAACCTACGACAGACTGTGAAACCTATCAGTACGCACCACTCTGTGATAATGAGATTCGGCTTCTCCGGATTACACCTGGTTATTTCCACAGTCCCTTGCAGTGCTCCTTGAAGGTCGTTCCTATGGAGAAAATCACGGCAATAGTACACGAATTCCAGGCACTTTCTTATGCGTGGGGCAACGATCCGCCCTCATGCAAACTCCTCTTGAATGACCTTGCTAAAGTATCCGGGGGATCTTCTACAGCGCCGACGCAACATCTGACGTATCCCATCCGCAAAAACCTCTACCAGGCGCTGAAACATATTCGTCTCACAGACGAATATCTATGGCTTTGGGTGGACTACCTGTGCATCGAGCAAACAAACCAGGAGGAGAAGAGTCAGCAAATTCCAAAGATGCCTTCTATTTACTCCAGTGCATGGAATGTAATCGCCTGGCTTGGAGTCGACGACAAGCCGGGAGACGTTGAGGAAGCGGTTTGCCTGATACCGGACATCCTCAATCTCAAGGAGCTTAACCTCAACCTACGAGGAGCACGACATGATAAGGATCTTTTCTGCTATCGTTGGATAGCTTTCGGTCGCATTCTACAGCGACCTTGGTTTAGGCGCAGATGGGTGATTCAGGAAGTTGCCTGTGCAAGACGACTGTCTGTTCGCATCGCAGATAAGATTCTGAGCTGGTTGGATTTTGCAGATGCAGTGGAGCTATACTCGGATCATCTCGAGCAGATGCGAGCCCGATATTGCGATTCAACATTCTACAAGCAGAACCTTTCCGAATTCGATCATATCTACACCTCAGAGGCGGTCGAGCTCATGCGATTTTCGCGAAATGTGTTTCAGAGGTCCCCAGATTCGACCATTGCCTCAAGACTGATGTCTCTAGAGTCTTTGGTGCTGACAGCCTCGTCTTTCGCGGTATCAGAAGTCCGTGATACTGTCTACGCTTTGCTATACCTAGCAAGTGACATGCACAATGTCACTAACACTTCATCCGAGTCTCAAGTGCAGCATGTTCTTACTTCAGATTACTCCAGGAATCCGGTCGATATCTTCAAGGACTTCATCTGTTATAGCATCACCGGATCAAATTCTCTGGATGTGCTTTGCCGTCAATGGGTTAGTTGGCCGCACCAACAGGGGGCTAGTTGGGATGCGTACAGGGCAAAGTTTGTTCCCAGCTGGATTGGACTAGCAGCAGTAGTTGACGAAGGTCGCCGCCTTCCTCTCAGGCCTCGGACTCGTTCGGCAAGCCTCCTCGGGCCCGTGGGCTCTCCGATCTATCACGCATCTCATGGTGTTACTTTCTATGGACATACAATACCACCAATCATGCAAAACATCATCCAGCTCGATGGCATGGCATTAGGGATAGTAGAGTTGATCTCCGACTTTCCTGTCCATAGAGGGTACCTCAAAGACAATTTGCTAAGAATGCTTGGTTGGCGTGGCACTTTAGACAAGGGCATCGATGATCAGCTCTGGAGAACCCTAGTTGCAAATCGTAATCCGGATTCGAAGGTAGCTCCTACCTGGTATCGACGCGTTTGCGCCTTGGCACTCACCCAGCTCAACGACCTCGGCGATCTAAATTCACGAGCTCTAATAGCCGATTCTTCGCAGCCAAACACATTAGTCGACTATCTCAAGCGCGTACAAGAGGCGACCGCTAATCGGAAAATCTTCCGTTGCAAACGTCCCGATCGGGTTGTTGGTCTCACGGTAGCTCAAAACAGGGCGTTGGAAAACATTGTGGGGCTAGGACCAGAGCTTATGGATTCTCAACATCGAGATTTTGTTAGTATCTTGTATGGTTCCTCTGTACCTGTGATCTTGAGAGTAGTCGACGACGACAGATCGAAAACCGATAGCACTTATCATGTCAAGCTTGTCGGACCCTGTTATGCACATGGGCACATGGAAGGTGAGATGTTCGCAGGTATGGGCGAGACGGAGATCAAGAACAGAACGATAAAGTTTAGCATTCATTGAACTTTGCTTGGATGTATCGAAACATGAGCTATTGTACAAATCTCTCCGTTCGCAATAACACGATGAATAAACGATCTGCTCTATTCCTCGCATCTCCTACTTCCACTCTTTCGGCCACTTCTCCCTATCATCACTATAATCCGGCAAATCAATCTTCACCACCGTCTTTTCTTTCCCATCGCCTTCCTTCCTCTCATTCGCCAACAATACATCTACCAAGAACTTCCTCAGACCTGCTGGAGTCTTATTCGTGTACACGCCTGCAAAAGTACCCAATCTCCTCCATTGATTAAAACCTTTCAAGCTCTGAGTAGTCAAGGGGTCCTCAGCAGCCCAGGTCTGAAACGTCTTCTTGTAAATGCGCTCGAGATAGACACGTGCCCGATTTGGCCATATCAACTTCTCTCCAATATCGTCGAGCAGTGAGTCTTTCACGTCGGACGGAAGTTTCCTAGCCCAGAGAATGATATCAGAGTCTGGCATTTTGAGAAAGTCTGGGGATGGACGCTTGGTTTGCTTAGCACCGGGAGTAGGTGGCTAATCGGATGCCGCAGCAGAATTGCTTTCTTCGGGCTCTTCATCGAAGTCCAAGTCCAAGTCGTCTGAGTCACTTAAATCCATGATGTCGTCTTCCGCCATCTTCGCCTTCTTGTGGCCACCCATGTTATCTTCGCCACCGCGGGATCGCTTGGCAGCTGCCGGCTGTCTTTCGTTGAAGACCTCATACCTCTCCTTCATTCTCTCTCCGATGATATTCGGGATTTCAGTCAAGGTCTTGCGATCCTCGTCGGTGAAGAGATCGGAGTCCTTGAGCCATATATTGGTTAAGCGATCGTCAGACTCGTCGGTGAATGTAGCGCCGGAAAGAACCTGCAGTATTGCCCTCATTGAGATACCGTCTTCTGTGGCTTTGTTACCGAGCGGACATCGTTCGATAAGTTCGAGATTGCTTTCTCGCCATAGCTTGATTTGCTCGGAGGGTACTGCTTGCTCGTCGGCGAAGTCTGCGGGAATATCGGTGATTGTGTCGGGGCGGTTGAGCAGAGGGAGGTAAGAGCGATGCGGTGGATTGCTAGTGGCTGGTGGAGGATCATCGCCTGGTGGAGGGTCACCGCCTGCTCGAGGATTGCCAGTTGCAGCGCGTGCAGCCGCTGCCTCTTCCGCTGCCTTCTTATCCTCATCCTTCATCGTCCTCCAGGCTAGTCTATAGGCCTCTTCCTTTGTTGTGCAACCTCCATAATGACGAGGATGCTCTCGAATGCGTGCGCGAAGTATGTTTTTGTATGTTTGGGTGTTTTGCGGATCGTTCAAATCGTAGATGTAATTGTCGTCTTCATCGTCATCGTCTGTATCCCAAACATTCTTTTCGGGAGGAGGAGTTGGGCGTCTTCCCCCGTTACCACCACCGGGACGGGATCCTCTGCCACCACCACTACCACCACCGCTGCCACCACCGCTACCGCCGCCACCGCCATGCCTATTACCTCTAGCCGCATGTTTACGGAATACGTACTTATCGAACAACCTCGGCGTATCTGGCTTGCCTATTCGATCCCGCCAAGCGGTTGCCACCCAAGGCGCAACGACCTTGGGGTTCAGAATGCGAAAGACATCCGGTGTCATCTTCAACGAAAGCTCACCAGCTTTGGCATCTTCCTCACTCTTATTCTGTATGATCTTCTGCATCTCCACTCTTGTGTACAGAGAATCAAAGGCCAAGTCGTTACAATGTCGTGTCTTATTCCGCCTCCGGAAAGCAGCACCCAGATGGCGTAAGTAGGGCGACGAGTCTTTGTACAGATATTCGAGAAAGGCAACGACGTACGGGCCGCACGCTCCACCATCGGCCTGAAAGCTGTTGTCATCGAACTGGTGCGGAACATATTTGGCGGTTTTTGCATTGTACATTCCTCGCTCAGGCCCGAGAACCTGCTCGATGGCACAGAGAATTTTGCCGGCGACTGTTGCCGCTCTAGACATGTCGGGGGGAAGCCGCTCTCTCTTTCCGTTGATGGTGACCAGTCTGATGTTGCCATCGATCCAGCGTGCTGTCTTTGATTCTTTATCGACGACTAAGAGACCCCAGTGATTGCCGATAACTGGAGGACCTTCGGCAAGCTCCTCTTCTTCTTCCATCACCTCGCCTTCTTCGACTCCTTGAGTACCTGCTTCTCGAGCTGCCTTAGCTTCTTTAGCTTCCTCTGCTTTTCTCGCTTTCTCCTTATACCATGCGCGTTGCTCCTTAGTTGTTAATGGCCCGTCATTGACAGGCACTACAATATAACGCTTTGAATCTTTTAGTGTCGGCTCAATGGTAACATCTTTGAGCAAGTCCTCCATGGTGCAATTTCCGTTACCCAAATTAAACAAATCCCAACCCTGGTAAATTGGGAGTGCGCAAACGTTTCCCCCCCTTTTTTGCGCAGTCAATAGAGCGAAGGCAACATCAAGACTACCAGCCTCGAGCCAGCAAGCAGGGTTATCGCCTCTTGTAGTTGTGATGTCCAAGTATTCCCGGACTCCGATCTCGCGAGTGTAGCCATGCTCATTCTTGAGTTCGACTAGACTAGTGCCTAGCCAATCCTCGATAAGTTGGTCGTCAGACTTTGGTGTGTCTGTTTGTGTGCCTTCATCGTTGCCAGTAGACTCGACCGCTGGTGTGCCTTGAATATCATCAACTTCTGTCGAGCCGTTGGCGGTTTCTTCTGGAGTGCCTGTCATTTTACGAAAGCTTTATTTGTGGTGTCCTTTTGATGAAATCAACGAGTGTCATAGATCCCGCGGACGTATATGCCTGATATGTAGCATCTTCCTCGAGTTCTTCGAACAAAGCCGAAGATGCTTGAAAAGAGGACGGCATGCGACGAACAAAGACACCAAGGTAGATAGCAACGCCCTTTGTCGAGTATCGGACGACACCATCATTGTCCGAGTCTCTTTCATGTCCGTTTTGGGATGGCAAGTTGAGCAGCTGATCTAGTCGTTAGCAAAGACATGAGTATAGTCGATTGTAAGAGGAAGTAAATATCGTGAATCGTTAATTAAGTAGCTAGCGAGATGTTCAATATGCCATGGAAGTGTCAGCTACAGAATACCGAGGCAACGACGGATATAGACGAATACCGGGAAAGTGGTAAATACCGATCCATACTGCCGGTACACCTCCTGGCACCTTTGTCACACCCGTCTATCTCCATTGTCTTGCCGGCTCTGGCGGCACAACATCTCCATCCCTGATCAGATTCGCCGGATCCGTGAACGGATTTGTATGCGCTTCTAGGTCCTCGGGCGACGCTCGTGATGTCGCGGTCTTCGGCTGCTGGCCTGGAGTACCATCGATGAATGTGAGACCGAAGTTGTTCAGCGGAACAGGCGTAGCATGAGCACCGAGACTCGAAGAAGGGAAGTCGCGAAGGTTTTGTTGGGCCGGAGTAAGGGAAGAAGCGCCGCTGAGATCGTCTAGTCGCATGGACTGTTGCGCGTCTGTCTTGCGGTTGATGTATGCAGCAGCGAGCGCGAAGCCGAAGTAGATAGCCATGCTGTTGTTATACTGATTAGCTTATTTCCCAAACATCACCATCCATTCATCATCGTAAAACTTACCAAACCGCTCCCAACAAGCCCAAAACCTCACAACCCCGTTCAATCCCCTTCGCCCATCGACTCCACCTATCCAACGTATACATCGTCTTATCGTATTGCCAACACGAATCCCTAGTGAGAGCCACAGTGTGCTCCAACCTATAATCGATCTTGCTACTGGGGAAAGTATTCATCCAAACAGTGCCCAAAGCGACCAGCACGAAGTAGATGGCGAGGCAGGTAGACCAGAGCATGCCGGCACGGTTGGAGATGCGTGCGGAGCGGTAGTGGCTCCGAAGGAGGAGGAGGAGATCGACGACTAGGAGAAGCGGGTTGAAGATCAGGATTGCTATGATCGTGCTGCGAGGATGTTGGTTAGCATGTCTTCATACATGGGATAGTACGACAGAAAGACAAAACTTACAAGACCCCTCCCCTCTCTTTCCCACTAAGATACTCGGGCCCCGTCAGCCCCGGGTCCGTACTGTTAATCCCAACATCCATTCCATGCCAGAACTTCTCGCGATCCACATTCGCATACAGCACCGGCAACGTCTTCACGTCGCTAGTCAACACAATCCCATACGTATCCCCGTATATCCCGTACTTGGTGAAGTCAAAGTTGCTACCGGCATCTACATTCAAGCAGTCGACTTCGCTTTGGGGAGAGGTGAGTAGACGATGGGCCATGGCGACGCACAAGCCGAGTTGCGCGACCGCGAAGAGGATAGAGAGGAAGAGGAGGATGTCGGTTGCGAGGCCGGTGCGGGAGGGCCAGCGGGTGGAGCGGGAGTGAGTGAAGAGGGTGAGGCAGGAGCGGGCTTCCTTGAGGGGGTTCGTGCGGGGGGGCGCCATGATGGCGTTGTTGGTGGTGAGAGGTTTGTAGTCTGGTGTCGTTTTTGGTTAGTGGTGGGTGTCTGTAACACTTATCTGAAAGTCGAAAGGACGAGAAAGAAAGGTGAGCAGGACAGGATTTATCCATCCCTCAATCTCTCAGGGTCTGTGGTGTCGTCGTCTGGTAGCGGTACAGTGAGTACCGTGGGTGTGACGCCGGAAGCGAGGGGGAGCCATGATACCATCTTCAAATGTGAGAACATGGGCTTGTCGCATCTCTGAAAGGAAGCGACGACGATAGCGTCGCCAAGAAACCACGCGAGGCGAACGGGAAAGAGCGACCGGTCGGAAAGGTATCAACTTGAATTGGCAACTACATAGAAACATTGATCGGGCTCGGGGCTTCGCAGGGGGTGTACATGCTTGCGTAAAGCAAAAGGACAAAAAGGGCTCATGACAGGGTAACAAGGAGATTAAGATCGTAATCAAAAGAGGTATTGCAAGTTGTTTACATGCGGCTGCGATAGGGCCTAGGGACAGCCGGCTGGAAGAGCCTATCCGGCAGCCTGTTTCCATACTGATCGAAGCGGTAGTCCTCCTTTTGTTCAATCCACATCTGCCCAGCAAGTTAGCCTTGTGCTAACAGCTAGAGCTTGCTACCGTAGGGGCGGGGCGGGTAGCCAGCAGTGTTGTAACCACTCACCTCGCGGTCGGCGTAGTTCCTGTCCAACGGCACTGGTTGTGGATTTAGTATTTCTTCGTCGCCAAAGCCCGCGTCTCCTTGGAACCTACGCGAATAGTGCGCTGCACCAATGGGTTGCGGGGCGCCGTATTCGGCGTACGCAGGGGCTCGAGGGCCGTACTGACCTGGGCGTTGGGCGCGCGCGTTGCTCTGCATCCAGGAGTCGCGCTCGGGGAGACGGTCCTCGTACGATTCAGGGCGGCGGCCAAGGGGCTCGGGGAAGCGCGGGTTGTAGGTGCCTTGAGTCTCGATGGGGTACTGAGAGCGGTAGTGGTCTTCCTGCTGGTAGCGCTCGTCGTAGTGGGTCTCGTAGCGGCCGTCACGACCTTGTTGCTCGAAGTGGACGTCGTGACGGGGAGCAGGGCCGCGGTCGTCGAAGTGCTGGGGTCCGCGCTGGTGTTCGTCGATGTACACGTCGCGACGCTCTTCGTAGTGAGCTGGGGGCTGACGGTCGCGCTCAACCCAGACATCGCGGTGCTCCTCTACGTGTCGCGGCGGCGCGCCATCACGCTCGACCCAGACATCCCTCTCGATGTGCGTCGTGTGGGCGGGCTGGGCCTGAGGCTGGGGCTGGGGAGGTTCCTGATGGATGTCGATGTCGATGTGCGTCTCCTTGGTGGTCGCCTTGGGCTTCTTGGGCTCCTCGACTGGCTCCAGAGCAGTCAGGTAGCCGATGACCTCGCTGAGACTGGAATGCGCGATGGCGAGCTCCTTCTCCCGGTTCTCGAGCTTCTCCTTCTCGCTGAGCAGCCAGTAGACGCGGTGCCGCATGCCGATGCGGCGGCCGTCCTCGACATCGCCGGCGACGCGTTCCGTGTGCGGCGTGATGTTCTCAAGGGCGCCGCGCACGTCGCGCATGCATCCGTAGACCCACTTTGACTTTTCCGGGTTGGCCTCGAGGATGTCGTGGATCTCGCGGATGGACAGCAGGCGTCGCACTTCGTCGAGGTCGGATCGGACGCGGCCAATGATGCGCACGTAGACGGCGTTGGATGGGCCAACGTCGCGGACGCGCTTGGCCTTGGTGAGGAACTCGGCGAGCTTGTAGGCACCCCCAAGGGCACCGGCGGCAGCACCGAGCGTGAGGATCTCTCCTTTAACCATGACGGGCGGTGAGGTGGCAGCTGCTGGGAGCTACCGGCTTGGTGAGGGTGATGTTCAATTGAGTGAAAGGGTGCCTGCGTCTCTGCCTGTACCTGGCGCGAGCATCCCGCGCAGGTTCAACCGGCGTGGAAAGTGGGGATAGGCGCTTTGGTGAGGTGTGAAGAGAGCAGAGTTGTTGTCGCTCAGCTACTCAGGGCAGCATTGACAGGGGCCGTAGCTGTTTAGTGTTATTCGGGGGCTGGGTGCTAGCCACATGGAGGCGCTCTAGCCTGCAGCTCGTCACTCCTCGCGACCAACCCGAGGTCTGAACTCCCCCAGAGCTCCACCCTACGAACATGTGGCTTCCATCGCTTGCAACCGACGAGCTGATCGTGTTCATCGCGGAGATCCAGAGCGGTGAGGACACACGCTGGCCTCGCCCAAAAACTGCCATTTGTCTGCGGTAAACAACATCTCCACGTCTTGTTTACTCCGTCCTGATACGCGCCTGGATCATCCCAGCTCGCCATGTCAGCTCCACTCGACAACGCACCGACCTGCCTGAAACTTGACACCCAAAACCTTGCTTTATTTACCGTACTTCGCAATGAACGCGCGAACCTTGGGATCGCTCAAACTCAATTCACTGCCCTCTGCATCCAGCAGCTCGCGGTCCTTGTTCTCCAGCTCCAGCTCCATCGCCTTCAACTGCTCGTCCAGTTCCGGATCTGTCAAGCTAGCCCGGTGGAATGGTGCGTGCTTATATAGCGCACTCAAGATCGCCCTCAGGTCGGTGTCTTCTTTGCTTGTTCGTTCGGCAATTACATCATGAGCCGACGTCGCGGTGGATTCGTAGTGGCTCTGCAGCTTTTTGCTTCGCTCAAGCTGAGCTTGTTGTAGAGTGTCCTGCAGGCTTTCAATGTTGTCGTGACTGAATGATATGCCCGCATAACGAAGCGCGTCTTGCAGTGTGACCGGAAGGTCGAGCGTCGATGTAGGCTTGAGCTTCACCATGGGTGTAAAGGCCGACGTGTCAGACCTCATGCGCTTCAATACGGGAGTTCCAACCGGTGGGTGTGTCTCCGGTATACGCTTCGCTGCTGCTCCTTGGACGTGCGCGAGTGCTTGTTGGAACTCGTCAGTGTCCTTTGTGCCAGTAGTGACTATGCTCAGACGCTTGCCCATATACTCGAGGGTTGAGAGCACCTGATCTGTTAGTAATAACTTGATGACACTTGAGATGTACTTACATAGTTGAGCCAAGCCGTTCGTGCCTGTGTTCTGTCCCTATCCTTGCGCTCCTTCATCTCAGTCATTGGCTTGCGTATCTCATGCTCGACGACCATTTCAGCAACAGATGCGATCTCGGAGTGAAGCTCTTCAAGCTCGGCCTGGAGGGCGGCCTTTCTCTCTTTGAGGCTGTCTTCTGATTCCTCCGCAAGGCCATTCTGGGAGTCACCAGATGCATTGGTAAGGAACACAGTGTCGACGCGAGCTTTGATCTCCGCCGCGCGGAAAGAGATAATAGCCTTGCACCACTGCTCCATCGACTTCTCGTCCTCGCTGACTTCAGGTTCCGTAACAATCTGCGATACCAGCTTAGGAAGTCGGCTCAGAATTTGGTCGTCGGATGCAAAGCGTTCTGACAGGTAGCCTTTTAGTGTTGACCTTTCAGAGTCAATTTCTCGTTGGGCGTCGGTCATCTGCTCCGTGACCGATGCAACGACATCGTCAACCTACTAAAGTTAGCAAAGAACCATCCATGGCATTTGGGACTTACAGAGACGTCTAGTCGAGACTTTTCCTGACCCTCCTTCCTTCTTCGCTCGTTCCTTGCATGCTCGACATCCAAGTTGGGCTTATCGAGAGATTTAAGCTTCATCAACGCATCTTTTTGACTCTCCAGAACTCTGCACTGCTCTTCGATCGCAGTAGCAGAGCTCTTTAGCGATTCAATCGCTGCAGCGATTTCGTGGTCTAAGATAGGTCGGATGGGTTCACCGTCGCTTTCGTACTGGTGTAAGAGACCCTTCTTCTTCAAAGTCTGGTACCTAGAACTTCAATTAGCAGATACCGAAATAACAAAATTTCGCACTTACAGCTCCAGCTCTTCTTTGCTCAGTAAAGTGTCTTCGTGGAGGTACTCGTCGACCCACGCCGCAGCTTCGTGCTTTGTATCCGCATCCTCAAAGCCCAGAAGAACGTTGTCGAGATCTACCTTCAGGCCTCGCTCTTCCACCACATTGAGCAGATGGTGAGCTGCTTGTTCTTCTTCCATATCACCCACGTCTCATTGGTGTTCTTGCGGTGTGAGTGTTCTGTGGCAGATGCGAAAGCAGTTAGGTCAGCGACATTCGATACGGCGCGCCACACGACCCACTCGCGCAGTCGCGGTTCACGGCACCCTTCGTGCTTTCCCAACGCGCTCGCGACTTGAACTTTGACTCAGCACTACGCCCATCCAAACTCCCCACTAGACCACGAAAATGCCTCCCACTGCTCTCGAGCCCGTAATAACCCCCGAACCTGCCAAAGAAACCGCCAAAGAAGCCTCCATCCAACCCACCCCACTACCCACCACCGCCATGTCATCCAGCAACCCCACGCACGAGGAACACCAATACCTCTCCCTGATCCGCGACATAATCCAAAATGGCGAGCACCGCCCCGACCGAACCGGCACCGGCACCCTCGCCGTCCCCTTCCCACCCCAAATGAAATTCGCCCTCTCGCGCCCATCCACCGACCCAACGCAACCACCCACGCCCATCCTCCCCCTCCTCACCACAAAACGCGTCTTCCTGCGCGCCGTAATAGGCGAACTCCTCTGGTTCGTCGCGGGCAGCACACACAGCAAATCCCTCTCAGAAGCCGGCATCAAGATCTGGGACGGAAACGGCAGCCGCACCTACCTCGACAGCGTCGGCCTCTCCCACTACGAAGAAGGCGAACTAGGCCCCGTCTACGGCTTCCAATGGCGGCATTTCGGCGCTGAGTACAAGGGACATGCGGAAGACTACACAGGCCAAGGCGTCGACCAACTCGCCGAGATCATCGATAAGCTCAAGAATAAACCGTATGATAGACGGATTATACTGAGTGCGTGGAATCCGGCGGATATTAAGAAGATGGCGCTGCCGCCTTGTCATATGTTTGCGCAGTTTTATGTTAGTTTTCCGGGACATAAGCAGGGGGAGGAGAGACCGAGAGGTGTGTTGCATAGTTTGTTGTATCAGCGGTCTTGCGATATGGGTCTTGGTGTCCCGTTTAACATTGCAAGTTATGCGTTGCTGACGCATATGCTGGCACATGTGTGTGATCTCACGCCGGGCACTTTTACGCATACAATGGGAGATGCGCATGTGTATTTGGACCATGTGGACGCATTGAAGGTGCAGTTGGAGAGGGAACCGAGAGAGTTCCCAGAACTGAAGATAAACAGAGAGATTGGGGGCAGTATAGATGGGTGGAAGGCGGAGGAGTTTGAGGTGCTGGGGTACAAGCCGCATGCGAGTATTGCGATGAAGATGAGTGTGTAGGATGTATACGATGTATGACGAGTGTAGGAGCATGTCTCCACCACATGCTTTTTCATTGATACTGTACGTTTGCATGCTTCCCATACACGTTCTAGCCTGCAGACACGCTATGAACGCTACGAACCCAACGTAAATTCATTACACGCACGAAAAGAGGAGCATAATAACCAACCTAACCCTCTCACCCCAAGCCCCCCATCTACCCCCATTCCCCTACGAAGGCATCTCCTGCGGCTCACTCCTTGGCCCATGATTATGCGCATACTTTGTACTAGCCGGCAACTCACTCCTCACAGTATCCGAATCCGGCGCATCCACATACTGGGCATCCACATGCTGCGCATCTACATACTGCGGCGGCACTGCACCATACATGCTCTCCCTGTTATACGGGCTCTTCTCTCCATTAGCAAGCTTCGTCGCCTTCCTCTTGCGCCACCAGAAGGCCGCAAAGCCGATCAGCGCGAGGGCGACGAGGCCGCCGATTACCGGTCCTGCTATCCATGCTTTGCTGGAGGAGGAGGAGGAGTCGTTACTGTCTTTGCCAGCTCCAGATGATGAGGAGGGCGACGAAGAAGGGATTTCCGCGTCGAGAAGTACAGCGTAAGTCGCGCCTGGCTGCTCGCTAATCACACTCGTAGTGTTTTGGAGGTAGCAGTTGTTGAATCCGCCCTTCAATGTCGAGTCGAAGAGAATAGCTTTGCATCCTACGTTCTCCTCCGCGCAAGCATCCATACACGCCGTAATATTCTGCGAATGCAAACTCGTAATATTAGTCCCCGGATTCAACTTCCCACAGTGCACTTCAAAGCCCTTAGCATCCTCCGTGCCCGCCGCCGCCGTATACGATTCCCTATCTGGACATTTCGTATCGATCTGGTCGATTTGCGTCATGACTGCTGAGTGAAAGAGGATGATTCCCGCGCCTACGTCCAAGCTATCTGTGTAACCAGAATCATCGCCCGTCTTGAGAATGCAGTTGGCGAAACCGATTACCATACTGGGATTCCAAGACACAGCTGTGCAGAGCGGTTGCTGATCGACGCATATCTGCATGCATTCATCGAGGGAGTCGGCGTGGTAGAACCATTGATAGTTGCCCTCGAGATGTGGATACCCGTCAAAGTCAGCTACGTTTGCCTTGATCATCTGCCCGCAGTGCGTGGTGTATTGCATGCCGTGGACGCCGGGGAGGGTGTTGGTGGAAAGATCCTCGTGCGGACATGTTTCGTCGAAGCCTTCCATTTCGCTCCTCTCGATGAGGGCTGTGTAGCGGTGGGGGTTCGGTTCGAGGAGATCGACGGTCGCGCTGCTATTCTTCATGTAGCAGATGTTGTCGGGGTCTACCCAGAGGACGCCGAAGCATCCTCCGCCGGGGCCCCAGAACCGTGAGCAGTGCTCTATGCATTCTGCGAAGCTGTCTAGTTGAATGGCTTCGGTTGGCGCGTCTGATGTCTATTAATGATGATCCTTCTTGGAGGATATCGCGTGATCTGCTGCTCACCATTATTGCGTATGTTTTGATCACAGTATGTGGTGTAGTTGGCGCCGTTCAGTGTCGTAAATGGGCTGCCGCATCGCGCAGGACTATATTGCCGTGCTTCGAGAGCGCGACCTGGTACATATTCTGCTAGACCTGCTCTTGTATCAGCAAGCGTCTTGTTTACTACCACATCACCTCCACACCTGCAAACATACTTGTAGGTGAAGCAAACGTCGTAGTCGCTAGCATCAGAGTTAATGAACTCCACATCCTCACGTCCAGCATATTAGTATATCCCATAGTAGAAGACCTGTGCTTGTACAACAGTAGGAAACGCGACAACGCGAGATCCGGGGATCGTGAGTGTACGATACAAGGTTAATACAAGGTTAAACCAAGCTGTACCGATCAGGCACGTTGCCAATAGTAAGCCATGGGGCGAAGTACATCGGTTATTGAAATTGCAACTCAGGCCTCCAATACATGAGGGCCAGAAAGTCTTCCTGTAAGACAATGCACCTCATGTTAGAGGTGGGAATTCGTTGAATCCTACGACATGGCTTAAGGGCGCAGCGTCCGCGGACATCTCGAATCATCGGGTGGTTGGGATTCGCCAGGATTATGAGTGGTGTCGACAAGAATGACGATGTTGTGCTTGGTCAACGCATTGTTAGGCGGGTGACGATGACCCTTGAGATGCAGGGCGTTTGCAGGGATTGTGGTAGGATCCTCTTTAGCGTATGAACGCACCAATGGCGGATAGCCTCGTCGACGAGCTAGAGAAGGCGCATTGCGCCTTGCAGAGAACAACAACTGCGCACAAATGTTGATGTACGAAGTCGTCATGTCTCACACGCAGTGCTTATCTGGGGGCGTTCTAGGTATTGTTGTATGTTTTCTCCCAATGTGTTGAACCCTTTAGGAACCTTGGAATACGCTCTTTGTGTACTAGCAGAGGAATGTTGCTTTTATAGGACAAGCCTTTTGGTGTCACATGTGCACAGCTTCAAATCCTCGGTTTTTGTACAACAAATGCTTGTAGTAAAAGATCCTTTGTAAAAGTATTAGAGCTTCTACTCGCTAACAAAGTGATCCAACGATATTACAGCAATAGACTTCGCGAACTGACTGTCAAACTAACTTCCACTGTAGTAGGATACCACAGTCCTGAACGTATTCGTAATCGTCTCTTCAGTGTTCGTATGACAACCTTCCGGAACCTCCACACCATCGAAGCGATCCTTAATCCAAGCAAGATAGTCAGGAACTGTAACCATCGAGGCACCCAAGTGATCGACCTCCGGGTACAAAAGGAGCGAAACACGAGACTCTGGAAAAGCGCTGCAAGTCCGATTGAAGTCACTCCTAGTGTTGACTGCGTACACCAAAGCGTCGGCAATCCCCTGAACAACAAGCATAGGTCCAGCGAGAGCGTGAGGGCCAGCGCCATTGTAACGCTTTTGCCAGTCGACAACATCTGGATGCTCGTACCAGGTAACCTTCTTGAACATCTGTGCGCTGGTGAAGTTGCCGTATAATGCGTTTGCAACAAGAATGCAGCCTTGATCCAGGAGTGGAAGGAGATCGAGAGCGGCATCTGTAAGGTAATCTTCGAGATGGAAGGTGTGAGGAAAGAGCAGTACGAGCGATTGCAGAAGTAAGATGGCGTTGGCGCCGCCGAACGGCCCACCATTGGCTCGTCGGATAGACTCAGGGAAGAGGTCAAGAGGACGGAGCGCGGGAGCAGCGGCGACAGAGCCTAGGAACTTTCCTGCCTTCAGCAGTTCTTCCTGATTGGGCATCGCGAGCCGCTCGTTGGTTCTCCAAGCTGTCATGCCCCCTTCACTGTGGCCGACAACTACGTATTCCTTGGAGAGTAAATCGCCGAGGACCTTGCGGGCAGCAATCAACCCGTATACGGCATCGGCTGCGTGCAAGAAGCCCGCCTCGTACATGAATCCTTGAGGGATATCTGAGCCTTGACCCGAATAGTCGGGCGCAATGACAGCATACCCAGCAAGAGCAAGAGCATACGGGCCTCTCCATTCATAGTGTAAGTCTTTGTTGTTGGAAGGTGCACAGTTGCGAATTCTACCAGCTGTGCCGTGGGTCCAGACTATTGTATTCAGCGGCTCGTCCCGGTTTGGCTTGCTGTACGGCAACAGCACGAATCCAGTAGCCGGAATAGGGTTTCGTTCAATGTCTTCTGTCGTGTACATGAAACGCGCAAGAGACATGCCGGTTGGCGCTGTGAATTTCGTGTTGCTGTCGTTGCGTGAGACTGGTTGCCATCGCAGAAGGGCGCCTGGCTTTGCTCCAGTGGTGTTGGCCGGGGTGGTGTAGAATTCGTCTAGCGTTACGTTCTTCGACACCCACCCTGAGGACTCGAGGAGGAGGGCTCCTTTGAATGCCGTCTGGCAGGCGGAGTCGCATGACTCCTGTGCGCGGCTGGCTCCAAGAAGGATAGTTATGAAATGGGTGAAAGAAAGTCTCATTTTGAGGAATGGAGAAGTTGAAGGAATGACTTTGCTGATGCCCAGGTGGCACTAGAGGCTACATCAGGGCCCTATATAATATTTCGATTGATACAGCATCGATACCGACGCTCGATGTGCCGACCATACTGAGGTCAGGTGCAAGTATGCACTAGACACGAAGTGCCGGCGGTACTTCTTGTTTGATCTAGCGGGATGCACGACATTGCGCAAGCAAAGAACAGCCGAGAGAAGTCCCCGGATAACGTCGTTCTTAGCCTTCTTCCGATGCGGCAAACTCGATCTAAAAGGTCGATGTACGAAGTTAGTGTATGTCTCGCAGGCAGTTCGTACATACATAGGAGACTTGACCTTCGCCAGATACCCCATATTTCGGACCGAACGTTTCACTATGCTCTATTACGGGTAGTCTCTCCACCAATGCGGCTGAAATTTTACGTATAATGTATACCAAGTATACGCAAGTTGAATGCTCAGCCAGGTTCGGACTGTGAAGGCACCGGCTGAAGACCTAATGTGTTTGCGCCTACCTGGGTACGAAACAATGGAGTCTGCCTTTGACTCGGACTGTGGTCTGATCCTGATGCGTGCCTACGACGCAATGGCACTTCTATCCCAGTAACGTACGCAGCGCCCTTGCGCGACTTTGAAAGAAGAGACTTGACAAGAAACCATCGGCCTTGATCACAAGCGAGCATATACGACGGCCATGAGGTCGCGTAGAGATGTGAACGCTCTGCAAGAACTGATCTACTACAGAAGAAATGTGTCTGATAGCGTTGCTAAGAGATCATTAGCACCATGTGACTTAGCGGACCTTCGAGGTCGTAACGACTGTGCTACGACGCGTGTACATAACAGTACGGTGCATAGACGTGCACCACTGGCTCGGGCGTGCTTCGCGCCGTGACAACGCATCGTTGCCTACCTGGGTAGCGCCATTAGACGTCGCTCGGAAAGAAGCAAAACTTCCAGCAGTGTTGATTGTTCACGAATACTCCTCTTCATTAAAATCACCAAAGATCCAATGCTCTTCGAGCCTCGCTCGTTCTTCGTTCGACTCAGATGCCTCAAGCGCGGCGGCCTTGAGCTTTCGTGCACGCTGTCTAGTCTCTTCGTACTGTTCTAAGGATACCCAACCCTCCGGGCCGATGCCAACAACATCCCTACAGGCCTGGAGCTGCTCGTCGGCTTCAACCTGCGCAGCATGCAGACGCTTGCACTCGGTCACCTCGTCTTCTGTGAAAGAAATCGGGCAAGGAACCTTCGAATCGCCTCTTGCGCTCGATTCTGGGGCGGTAATACTCGACCAGTTCTCCGTCAGATAGATAAGGTCAGCTTTCAGTGTCACATTATCGCCTTCCCAGGGTTCACTCGCGTGATCAAAGAGTTTTCGTCTTATTATGCTGAAGTCGTGGGCTAGGGCGTTGTAATGCATCGGGTTTAGCTGTGCAGTCTTTGCAATATAGTAGTAGTGGAGTTGACGCTGGCGTAGGAGCACGGCCTGCTCGAATTGTTCCCTCTCGCTCAAGTCGTCAAAATTGGGTGGTAATTCGGGCACTTCAAGCGATTCTGAGATGGCGTCACCGTAATTCTGGAGGCTGTTTGGTATACCGCACTGCAGGAACAGCGGGAGTATTGCGCAGTGTTGCCAGTCAATTAGACTAGTGATTTCAAGTTTATCCGAGACGATTATATTGTTTGGTTGGAGATCGGGATGTCGTAGTGTCGGCCGGGCAAGAGCTTCGTTGTCATGCGGGATGAGATAAGGCGCAACTTGCAGGTATTTCTCCAGGCTGGCAAGATGATCCAAGGGCGATTGTTTTTGATAGTTGTAGATCTCTCGTCGCAGATGTTGGAAGGGGTGAAGCGATCGGCCGAACTTCGTCAAATATGCGATTTCTTTTTTGGCACCGGCTATAAGTGCCGATGTTGGATCTGTATCTTTGGAACAATTAGTTGAGGTTGCTGGTAGAGATTGAGGTAGTTTGTAGCAGATGATCCAACAAGAACCTGAATCAGCTGTGTAAATGGAAGAGCTAGCACGTACATGGTCCGCGATGAATTTGGATATTGCCCCGTTTCCCATGCCACATGCGGAGTCTCGTATCAGGGCCTACGCAAAAGTCCCTATCGCGGACAGATTTGGCGATAGGTCCATCAGATCTACCGTACTCAGCTGGCAAGTCCTTGGTGTAATACAGGCTACCGCTTGCCGGAAACTCTAAAGCAAACAGTTTCGACTCCAGTTCCACGAGTTTAGTGACAACGGTAATTCTAGCCTTTTCAGGCAGTTCAAACCATATGTCACCTAAATCCAGGCCCCGGATAAACTCCATGAAAATGAATTCGGTACCAGCAGCATTCTCCGCTGTAGCTGAGTAGCTGTAGACCTTAGGGACAGGTATACCGTGTAAACGGAGAAATTCCATCGTCGCGACTTCGCTGGCTACGACCAGGTGCTTCGGCTCTGTCACCGGATAAGGAATGCGCCCGACAAACTGAAAGCCGTCACGCATCGTGATCAGAAAGGTTCGATTGAAACCCCCTTCAGCTAGTTTTTCGAAGGAAGTCACGTCTTCTACGTTTTGATTGACAGCTGCGGCCGCCAAGCGCTTGAACTCCGGTACATCAAAGACACGTCTTCGTTCAGAGTGCTTCGAGGCATCATTCCAACTTCAGTCCATGGTCAATATGAGCGATTGCTTTGGTAGAAGGGTTTGACAAACATCCATCGCCCTGATGTGTATTCAAATAGCTTAGCGGATTCGTCGGTTGAGTAGTAAGCCGGAGAATGAGTCGATTTTAAGCAGAGACTTCTGGCTTTTGGGAATTGTGCCGTTCGTGCGAGATGACGACAGAGGCCATGTGTGAATAGGCGACCACTTGTGTTCCGATAAAACGCCATATGACAATCGCGCAGTGGAATGGTGTAGCGCAAGGGCAAGGATTCAGTCGCTGCAGCCCTGGAGCGGATGCGGAGCGACTCAACCGAAACGCTTGGATTGCTTGGCATACACTAACTCCAATCGCGCAAGACTCCCAACGAACGAGATCTAGGAGATGAAAAGAGGGGGTTGGAAAGTGAGAACTCTAGGCGCCAGCACGCGAGACGGGACTGAAGGATTTCGTGGCTCTCTCTGAAGGATCGGTAAGCAAAAAGCCTTGGCAGGGCGTAACAAGGCTGAGCGCTGGGTCATGCTATTTTCGCCCTGCAGGATCCCATCACCACAAGGGTGCGGCAGGCTTGTGCCTTGATCTTGCTATGTAGTCTATGCCCGATGCCTTGGGTGTGCAGATGGTTGGTGCTAGGCCGGGCAATAGCTACAGTTGTGTCAAGCCTGGAAGCCTGCTGGGCATCACCAACTTCAACGAAATTATGCGCGATCACTTCGCTTGAGACAGGGTAGTGATGGAAAGAAGTATTGCATTACCACGCTGCTTTCATCAACAGCGAGTTGGTATCTAATGCACCCCAAACGCCAGCCATGATTTTTCCCACCTGCAAACACGCAATGCAAGAACGCATAAGACTCCACGCTTATCTGTGGCTGGTCTTTCCGATACCACGCTTTCCAGCAGTCTGGATAACTGTTAGCAACTGCGCCGAGAGTAAAACGTGTTCGAAGTAAACTTACCAAATGCTTGATCAAAGAACCAGTCTGGTGCCTATCGGCCTCACCCTGTCTGGCCATCCTGTTCATCTTCTGCTGCGACAGCTTCTGCAGCCTCTCAGCCTTGGAAGCGGCAACCTCATTGGTAACACCGTCATTCCTCCTGTTGGTGCTCTGGCTGCGGCCTCGGCTCTTAGCACGCGCAAGCATAGCAGCACCAGGCGTATCGACCTCCATAGCATCGCCACCAGGAGCCTCGGATCTTCCACGAGCCAAGCTGCGGCCTCGCGCCTCTGCCTTTGCAGTCGTACGCTCGACAGCCGCTGAGGGATCGTAGCCGAGACTCTCCAGATGCGTCTCCATCTTTGACATTTGCATGGCCTTCTTGGTCCTGGGAATGACGGCCCTGTTCTTGAGACTCTTGCGCATCTTGGCCTCGTTCCGGATGAGTTGCCTCTTCTCACGGATGAGCTCTGCCTTGTACCTGATGTCCGCTTCCTCTGCGTCTTCAAGGTCGTCGTCGGAATCGTAGAAGCCCTCACCCTCCAGCTTCTCCTCCTCAGCTTCGAGCGCGGCAAGCTTGGCCTCGATGTCAGGGTCAATGAAGTCGTAGACGTTCTGGCCCTTAAAGACCTCAGGAATGCGGTCGTGTTTCCACTCGTCGTTCTCAAGCATGTAGTTCTTGCGGAGATCGATGTTGTACACACCAGCTCCACCGTCTGCCTCTTCCAAATCACGCTCAAGGAGCGGCCTGTCCGGGTCTTCCTTGTCGTACTTCTTCTTGTTGAGCACCGCCTCTGGGATGGAAGTCTCGCGAGTAACGCCGCCCAACGGCTGGGCAACGTGAATACGGCGAAGCAGCTCACCGAGACGGCCAGAAGGCTCGCCGGCGCTGTTGGTACCGGCCTTGAGCTTCTCAGCGTTACGGGCAGCGATCAAGCGATCGCAGACAGAGTTTCGCACGGCCATAACACCCTCAGTTGTGTTGCAAGAGAGCTCGAGCATCTCAACCTCGCCAGACTTGAGCATACCCTGTAGCTGTTCCTGAGTCTCGGGGTCGAGCTGATTCGGGCGCATAAGATCGATCTTGTTGATGACGATGGAGATGAGCTTGTTGGCGAATAGAGGCTTGATGTTGTTGAAAAGAGCGATTTGCGAGGCAACGGAGTAACCGCACTGCTCGCTGAGATCCATGAAGTAGAGAATGTGGGCGCGGAGATGGGCAATGGCGCAGATAGACTGATGCTCGATGGTGTTCATGTCCTCGAGTGCGTGGTCCAAGATACCGGGAGTGTCAACGGCCTGGAACCGGAGCATCTTGTAGTCGAAATGTCCGACATACAGACTCTTGGTGGTGAAAGCGTAGGGCTGTACCTCGACATCGGCCCTTGAGATTGACTTCAAGAATGAAGACTTGCCGACGTTGGGGAAGCCGGAGATGACGAGTGTGCGGGTGTTGGGGTCGATGGACGGAAGACGACCCAAATGCTGCCTAACCTGCTCAAGGTAGACGAGAGGGTCCTTTAACCTCTTGCAAATGGTGGCCATACGACCCAGCGCGGCCCTCTTCAGCTGCTTGCACTGGAAGAGAGACTGTCCGTACTTGAGAAGACGGACATAGTCGCGCGCAACCGTCTCAATCAGCGACTTTGCAGTCGAAAGCTGACCAAGCGCAATTCTGAAGTGATCCGCATCGTATAGGGTGTTGAGCAGATCGCGGTGGAACGGGTGGATGTCGGCGAGGCGCGGGAAAGCCTCGATGGTGGTGGAGAGGCGCTCGGTAAAGGTTTCGGAGGTGTACTTGACTTTTCGCGTGTAGAAGGCTCGAATTCTGCTGATCTTGAATCCAGCACGAATCTGTGTCGGCAGTCTGGGTTGCAGTCAGCTTTGTCATCCTCTATGCGATATGCATTGCGCCTGCGAAGTTGCAAAGCGCCGGGTGGTAGAGGGAAGGCGCTTTGCGCAATTGTGTCGAGGAAGGCACCTACCTCCTCTGGGTCCTGGAAAGCACGATGTCCAGAAACTCCTGGCTCGTGGGTACAGCGGGGATATCCTTCCACTGGGTCTTCATTTTGGCGACTGCGGTGTGTTGATGTCGAGTAAAGCCGTCTGCGCGCGTTGGAGAGACTTCAGGGCAAAAAAGTTCACGACGCTATCGATACCGGTGGGGAAAATCGTTCGCCTCGCCGCCGCGCTAGTCCCGCATCCAATGTTAGCGTCGTGTGACCGGGCAGTTGCACCCACCCATCACGCGCCTGACAACCTTGGAACACCATAGTCCACATTTTCACCATTATGTTCTCGAAATCACGCAGTATGTTTGAGCCATAGGAGTTGGCGATTTTGTATAGTCAACAGAATAGCACTACCCTCGGGGTAACTTAGCAGTATGAACAGATGTATACTTCGGCGCAACTAGTATTGACCGCCGGCCTGTTCCCAGGACAGTGGCATTCCGAGCGGCTGATGGCGCGAGCGATGTCTTTCGCGTCGGCATTCCCAGCTCCTGCTCCTGCTCTCATCCTCTCAAATATGTCCAGATAGATTCACTATGAACACCACGGTGAAAGATGCTGTCACGCGCTGCCAGTTACCGAGCTGCGCATGGCTCTCTTCAACTGACCTGACAAACCTCACCAACGTACCACCCTTACTACCAGATTCAGATCTCTCAGGCATTGGAGTTAGTATCAAGACTCAGCCTATACCAACGCGACTGACTCCTGCACAATAGGTCATCCTAGGCTTCTCCATCTCAGCATATCTCACATTACTCTTACTCATCATCCACTACATCACTGTCCACAACGCCCACCAAACAAAGAGCACAGCGAACGCCCACATCAATGCAGTCGACCACAGAATCCTCACCTTTACACGTTCCCGCATCTTCTCATGGAGTCCCAGTCGACGCTTCCAGTACGCCATCGAAAAGTCCGTCCTCATCCTCAGCGACCTGAACCTAGTCACCGGCACTGCGATCCTCATCGCCGGTTACTCACAACTAAAATGTGGCATCTCGGCGTACCACTGGCAGATGATGGTCTTCATTTCGTGGTTCGCAAGCTTTGCTTTCGTCTCTGCGACGGCGTTTCTCGAAGGCTGCTCCCAGACTAACAAAAGCATGCGGCTTATCAGACTGGTCTTTATGGTTCTACTTGCTTCGTTGTTGATTGCTGCCTTGCTTCCGACAGGGTCGAGGATGTGGCTCAATGGGTACCCTGATGATGGCGAAGGCTTCTATCCGAGTTTGAGCGCTATTTGCTTCTACGAAGAGCTTGGAATGCGGTCATTCCCACGGCGAGGTCCCAAGATCTGGTCTATGATCTTCTCTGTGGTTATCGTTGGTGTGTCTTTTGTTCGGTGTGGTATAAAACTACTTGACCGCGATGGGGATGTATCCCGCACATGCCTTCGGACGTTACCAGGAACGAAGTTCAAGCAGTTCCTCAGCTTCCTGGAGAGGAAGACACTACCTCCTACGATTGAGGCCTACGTCTGGCACCTACCATACCTACTCTCATATGCTGGCTTCGTAACCGTCCGGGTCTCCTACGATGTCTTCGAGTCAATGCTATTGGAGATCCTCTGGTTGGCATTTGCAATGGCATGGGGAACCATTAAAGTCTGGGATACACGCGCCGCAGCCTCGTGGAACTATGACGGCTACAACTTTACTCTCAACCAGAAAATTTCTGAGGAGAATTCCTGGGGGTTTGGCCAGACTTTACCGTTAATCCTGCTTCTACTACCACTTCTCTCAATGGCCCAGGCGTACCTTGATGACGACGCAAAGGCTCAAGAGACCTTGCGAACGGATGAGGACACATCCTCCCCGCCTGGAACGGCGGCGACCCAAGAGATGGAGGATCCGAGCGCTGTAGACCCAGACCCGCTCGTGCCTCAGAACTGTAATCGGCTTGTCAACCTTCCAACATACCCCTACGAGAACTTCGCCTCCCACGACTGGTATCACGATCACCTAGTCCTTCTGGTCTCACAGATCGTCATGGTCAGCACCGTCGCGCTTTTCTTTCTCACGCGCTTAGCAGACATTTTCGGCATCTCCTCCATCCTACGCAGTAGACTCTTCGTCATCTGGATCTTAGCGATCTTACCGCTGGCGTCGTTCATTCACCTGGCAGCATGGTATCTTGCAGCTTTAGTGGTCGGTAAGTGGCCCGGTGTAGGGAGACGGTTGTCCACAGAGAACGAAGAGAGGAGAGACCAGACCAGGAGAGGGCATGTGGTGTACTGGATATGGCGAGCGGGACTCATAGCAGGGTGCTTACTGTTCACGTTTTTTGTTAGTTTGGAATCGGCTGGACCAAATTCGTTGTTCTCGTATCTGAGATGAACTCAGGTAACGTTGTATCTAATTTATTTACGAATGTCGATAGCTCTATCGTACGACTCACTCATCCTTGATGATTCAGTCCAGGACCTGATAATGTGCATCCACCGGATTCTTCCCATTGATCGTAAGAACATCCTGAGGACACGCACTCATCACCACAACCACATCCCTAAGCGCCTCCAGAATGACATAGTCTCCAGCTTTCGTTTTCGGCTCTTCGAAACTAATGCCTCTTTTCGCACCCTCACCTTCCTTCGTGATAGGAATGTTCATAAACAAGTTGAACGGATCCGGGACTCTGTATCCCATCCTCGCTTGCAGACCTTCAATGGCTTCCTTCTCCTCAGCCGAGACAGGGGAAGATGTGCTCAGCGCATGCAAAGCATCCCAGAAATTGTCTGTGCAAGACTCATGGTATCCATTAACACCCAGCTCACTGTACCGCCATCGATCACACGCCGCGACCAAAGTATCGTGTACGCCTGGACTTGTATCTTCCACCAGCTTGACCATCGGCGCCCTCTTCTGACTGACCATTACATCGCCCACTGCCGGCGTTACTTTCAGAAGCGTTGCTCGGCAGTGGCACATGGACATGTATTCGGAGGCGCTGGCAGCGGCATTCGCAGTAGTAGAGTACTTGGACGGCGAGTCTGCGGTCGCGTTTGGGTAGAGCGGTGCTTCGAGTTTTGTAGACACGGTGGAGAGGGCGGAGGAAGGGAGCGCAAGCGCCCAGGTATCGACGACTTGGTTCCCGTGGGTGTTTGTTATCTTTATCTTCTGCCCGGTCTTGACGAGGGTGGCTGCTCCGCGGCGGGCGGGGACGGTTTGGAGGATGGACATGGTGCGGTTATTAGGATGCTGTAGTCTGTAGTCTATGAAGTCGATATGTGAGTATGCAATAGACCCAAGGTGCTACTTGGGGGCAGGTGAGGTATGCCATCATTTGTATATGCATACCCCACTTGTGCTGTCGCGTCAGGTCGTGGGACGGGAAGATAGGGAGATAGGAAGACGGCGTCCGAAGCCTATGTCATCCTTCGAGCATAGACTAGCGCAAGAATGGTGAAGTCTTTGTAGTCGCCAACGACAGCTCTGGCCGTGTCTACAGTGTAGCGATCGAGTTCAGGCGCGCGAAGTGAGCGCGTAGCACCGAGTCGCAACCATGGTTCTGACCTCGGGGGCGTCTCTTAACCACGAATGTGGTTTAGACGAAAACCTATATAAGCAAGACAGAATTGAGCGCAAAATATCAATCGAGAGTCGTTTGGTGAAAGCGAAAGTAGAAATTGAAGTTGCGACATCGAGGTACCACCTGCACCTGCAATCGCGCGTATCACGTGTCAAGAACGCGGCTTCCTGGAAACGACACCCTAGCATTCCCGAGCGCCGCAACCCAAATTATCCCCACCACAGCTCGACTCCTTTACCGCCAACCCGCGCCATTCCTACCCACTCCCACCATGGCTGCCCTCGCCACCAAGACCGAGTCGCAGAACATCTTTACCAAATTGAAGTCGAAGCCCGCGAACAAGGTACGTCTTGCAAGGAGACAGATACTCGGTCAATGCCTAATACATCCCTAGATATGCTTCGACTGCGGCGCAAAGAATCCAACATGGAGTTCTGTACCGTTTGGCATCTACCTGTGCCTCGACTGCTCGTCCAACCATCGTAACATGGGTGTCCACATCTCCTTCGTACGGTCCACCAACCTCGACAGTACGTTCACCCCGAGTCTTATGGCTATACAACACACATACTGACCGAGGGTAGTCTGGCAATGGGATCAATTACGAATCATGAAAGTGGGCGGTAACGAAAGCGCTACCAAGTACTTCCAGTCGCACGGAGGCTCTGCTGCGCTTGCGAGTAAAGACCACAAGGCCAAATACACCAGCAATGCCGCCACCAAGTACAAGGAGGAGCTGACAAGGCGCTGCGCCGCGGACGCCAGGATGTAAGAAGAAATGGTCTTACACGATGAACTGAGCTAATCCGATTCCACCAGGTACCCCAACGAGGTCGTAATCACAGATGTACCCGAAGTTGGCACCGACGGCACCAACACGCCGGCCAACGACGAAGACGACTTCTTTTCCTCATGGGACAAGCCCGCCATCAAGCGCCCGTCGAACCCACCCTCGCGTACCGGTACACCCAAGGTTGGAGGATCACCCTTCCTGAAGCCTGGCGCCAACGGCAATGGAACAGACCGTCCCAAGTCGCCACTTGTTGGCGGTGAATCGAGCACACCCGCTGCAAAGCCCGCAGCTGTACGGAAGACGACTGCTGGCGCTGCGCCGAAGAAGAACATTCTGGGAGCCAAGAAGAAGGGTCTTGGAGCGAAGAAAGTGGTTGCCGCAGATGGAGGCCTAGACTTTGAGGAAGCAGAGCGGAAGGCCCGTGAAGAGGCTGAGCGCATCGAGAAGTTGGGCTACGATCCCGAAGCCGAAGCTGCTGAAGCCGCAGCGGCCACCAAAGCGAAAGCCCCCGAAGCATCCGCCATTGTCTCTCCCACTCCCGTATCACCGCCACGAGGCGGGTTCGGTTCCACTTCCAAGACCGAGCGCTCCAGCCAGGATATGGAGAGGTTAGGCATGGGTGTACAACGTCTAGGCTTTGGACAGGTAGGTGCAGCGAAGAAGGCTGCACCACAGAAGAAGATGGGTGGCTTCGGCAGTGTAGGCAAGCCTGCTCAGGATGACGGCGAGAAGTACGCGCGAGACAAGTTTGGCACACAAAAGGGCATTTCCAGTGACGAGTTCTTCGGACGCAACGCATTCGATCCCACTGCCACCGCGCAGGCCAAGGAGAGATTATCAGGTATGCAGCATACGTGAAAGCATTTGCGTCCAACTATCTAACTTGCTATGTAGGCTTCGAAGGCGCGAGCGCTATTTCCTCCAACGCATACTTTGGCCGACCCGAAGACGAAGTCGGCGACGAAGACTACGGTGACCTCGAAACCGCCGCCAAGGACTTTGTCCGCAAGTTCGGTCTCACCGCTGGCGACGATCTCGAGAACCTAACGAACATGCTCGGCGAGGGTGCGACGAAACTGCAAGGCGCTGTCCGGAACTACCTCAACTCGTAGGATGACTTTGTGGATGACGTTAGGGCCGACTATGATGGGCGTGCGGCCGTGTACTGAACATACTCCTCCGGTGTGTGGAGAGCAGGGCTGGTTATCATGTGCAAAGCTTGTCGTAGACGTCGAACAACAGGTGTGGGCGCTTGGTGCATTGCATGGAGCGGGCAGATGAAAGACCATGAAGCGTGGAGTTGGCCGTACATTTCTATTGCGCTGAAGACGTGGGCTTGGGAATGGGTGTTTGGGAGTATAGACAAACGCAACTAAGAGTCCCTTCAATTCAACCTCGTAATCTCATTCCTAGCATTATCTAATGTGTAACTCTGAACGCCAGGCATAAATAACTAAACGATGAACTGGGCAAACATTTCTCTAAATCCAACACCAACATCTCCATCAACCCCCTCCGCATACCCAATCAATCCTCCCTATCCCCCCAAACATCAGCCTCCTCCCTCGCCACAGCATCTAGATCAATCATCCCCTTCCCCCTGCCACTTCCTCCCTCGTCGTCATCCTCCTCCTCACTACTACTCTCCTGCCCCCTTGCCTCTTCCCGACTCATAGACCCCCATCCCGCATCTTCATCCTCGTCGTCTTGCGGAAAAGCAGGCGACACAGGGACGAAGTCGTCCATGAGGTTACTTGGGAGACCGGCGGGTGCGGGGCGTGGATGAGAAGATGAGGGTGGGGAGGGGGAGAGGGGCATCATTGCCATTTCTGGGTGGTTGGATAGTGGGGGTGTGGAGGGGCGGTTTGGGGGTGTGGTTGCGCCGTCACGGGAAGAGGACGGTTCGGCTTGGGGAGGGGGAGGTGTAGCGACATGCTTTTTCCCTTCTTTCGAAGTAGGTCGGACTTCTTCTGTCTTTCTCATCTCCTGCCTCGGCGCAGAGGCTGTCTTCACAGCCGATGCAGTATCAACCTGCTGTGTAGGCGGCAGCTTAGCATGATGCTCCTGCTGCTGTTGCTGCGAGAATGGGAAGATGGAGAAGAGGCTTTGGCTCAGACTGTGTCTATTCGGCGCGCCGGGTCTTTGTTCTTGTCGGAGTGCTTCTTCTCTGCTTCGAGGCTTGTTGGGTGGTGGATGCGATGCGGAGTGTGAGTGCGAAGGAGCCTTTCTGTTGGACACTGGACTGGGCGGCTTCGCGATTGTGGCTTCAGGTAAAGAGGCTTCGCACATTTCGCAGGCTGTGAGGGCAGGGTCGTTGAGGAAGGTGCAGCGTGGGCATTGCTTTTTGAGGTCGGGTGTTGATGGGCGGTGGGATGGGGTGGGTTCCTGGGGTGGTTGTGCCTGTGGTCGGGGAGGTTGGCGTGGAGGCGCTGGATCGTTCTGTGTAGGCATCTGGTAGCCTGGGCTGTATCTCTGTGCGGTCCTGGAGTTTGGCGGTGCTGTGTCGCGTTGTCGACTGGTAGATGGCGTCGCTGCACTCGCTCCAGCATTTGGATTCGGGTCCACTGATATTACGACCTGTACGTCTCGTTTCGTACCACACTTCATGCACTGACACTGCCGTACAACGCTCTTCGTATACGTATCTGTGACCTCGGTCGGCGCATCGAACCGGATCTCGAACTTTCCTGGCTCACCGAACCCTGGAGTATTTCTGTCGTTCCCTCTCCCTTTAGCATTCGCATATCCCGCTCCTTTGGCCACGATTGGTATAATAGGGTCAACCGTTCCGAAGATGAGATGATCCACAAAGGGAATTAACATTAACTTGCCACTCGTCTTGATGTGATGATCGATTTCCGGACGGAGTTGAAACGAGTCGATAGACTGTAGGACGCGGAAGTACTTGTTGAACATGTCGCCGTACCATTGACGAGCC